TGCTGTGTTTTTCAGCTCCATCAAGTCGTTTATGTTCTTCTCTGAGCTGGTTATTCTAGTTAGCATTTCGTCTAACCTTTTTTCAACGTTCTTAGTTTCTTTGCATTGGGTTAGAACATGGTCTTTTAACTCAGAGAAGTTTGTTATTGCCCACCTTCTGAAGCCTGCTTCTGTCAATTCATCAAATTCATTCTGTTGTCTTTTTTTGTTCCCTTGATGGTGAGGAGTTGTGGTGCCGGGGAGGAGGAGAAGAGGTGTTCTGTTCTTTGACGATTTCATCCTTTTTGCGCTGTTTTTTCCCCTGTCTTCGTGGATATATCTATCCTTGATCTTTGAAGTTGGTGATTCCAGGAGGAGTCTTGAGTGGACGTTTTTGTTTTTTTTTTTGGTTGAGGTTAGAGCTATATCTTTTTTGGCCTGTAGAGGGCGATGCTGGGCTCTCTCGGGTTTATTCAGGTTGTTAGGTGGGTGGTCCTTCCCTGGAGTTTGTTTGCAGGTGAGATTGGCCTCGCCTTCCCTATGGTGTCTCTCCCAGAGCTCGATCTTCCTGGTTGGGGTCAAACTGGTGTATTTGCTGCCAAGCTCTCCAGGGAGGGCCTTACTTTGAGTTCTGTGGAGGTGGAGCCTGCTAGGCCTTATGGTCTGTTTCCCTGCTTTCAACTCTGCCTCCCTCTGTGGGATGGTCCATCCTGCTGGCGTTAGTCCAACCTTCCGCCCAGGTCCCTGGGACAACTTGCCTGGAGGGAGCCCAGCTCAGATTTGCATCCTCAACCCACAGCGCCCCATGGTCTGGCTGGCCTCTGGTGGGCCGTGGGTTGTAGGAGGGATGCTGTAAGCACAGTAACCCAATCGGAGCACCGAGCCAACTGCACGTTTCAGGTGGAAACCTCCCCCTCCGGTGTCTTGATTTGCCCCACTGGGTTGCTCTTGCCCTACGGCTTCTTCCCTGGAGTATTTTCAGTGCCCTGTTAGTCCCTTTGGAACAAACCTCGCACCTCTTTTGGAATCGTGAAGTCCTATAGCCCCCTGCCTCTCATTTGCTGGCAGCTGCATTCCAGTGTTGCCTTCTCATGGCCATCTCGGCCCCCTCCTCCCTATCTTTTTCTTTTGTTTTCTTTTTTTGTTTCAGAGAGTCTCTCTGTCACCGAGGCTGAAGTGCCGTGGTGCGATTTCACCTCACTGCAACCTCCACCTCCCAGGCTCAAGTGATTCTGGTCCCTCAGCCTCCCAAGTAGCTGGCATTAGAGGCACCCGCTACCCACTAATTTTTGTATTTTTAGTAGACATAGGGTTTCGTCAAGTTGTAGGCTGGCTGGGAACTCCTGACCTCAAGTGATCTGCATGCCTTGACCTCCCAAAGTGCTGGTATTACAGAGGTGAGCCGCAGTGCCGGCCTTCCTTTTTCTATGATTGCATATTCAGTTTTTATTGGTAGATAGTTAGATTGCTTTTAATCCTTTGTTATTATAGAGTATTACGTTTAATCCTTTGTTATTATAGAGTATTGCATATAGAGTTCACTCTTGTTGCACAGGCTGGAGTGCAATGTCATGATCTTGGCTCACTGAAACCTCTGCGTCCTAGGTTCAAGCAGTTCTCATGCCTATGCCTCCCAAGGTGTTGGGTTTATAGGCACCTGCTACCATGCCTGGCTAATTTTTATATTTTTAGTAGAGATGTGGTTTTGCCATGTTGGCCAGGCTGGCCTTGAACTCATGACCTCAGGTGGCCCACCCACCTCTGCCTCCCAAAGTGCTGGGATTACAGGCATGAGCCGCCATGCCCGGCTGCAAATAGTTCTTTCATCTGAAAATGATAAAACAAGCCAGAAGAAGTCTTATGAAATAAGAAGTACATTTTCCTTCTTCTACCTGGTTGCTGTGAAAGAAACTGGTAGTTTTCAGGAAAATACTTGTGATTAGTAAGGTAAATTTTATTAGAACAACTCATTATTTAGAAAACATTGTATTCATCTAGTGATTTTCTGTTTGATTTTGTGTTACAGTGAAGCCTGCCTACAGTTTTCACAAATCTGTATCCTTTCAGTAAATAATTGCTTTTATATATGTATATACATATTTATTTACCTTCCTTTTGGTTAATTTATGAAATTTAGAAATTATTTTTATTTAGGAAATCATGCATTCTTTTTTACGGAAACTTTATTACTATGTGACCACATTAAAAATAAATCTTATAGGAAATTTCAAGCATATATGAAAGTAACTCAACAGTGTAGTTCACCCCATAAATTGAGATAATACATTATAGCTAAAGATAGAATAGGGAGTTTTAAAAATGTGAAAATCTGAAAAACAATATAGAGCAGTTGGGTTGGACTGTTACAGGTAGCTTGCAAGAGTTGGCTGGCAGCAAGATGGATGGAAAAGAAGTTATGAAAGAAGAGAACATAGTGATTCTTGAATATACCTCATAAATCATTTAACATGTCACATGTATTAATACTACAGGTATAATGATGAGTTACTTGAAATTGTTTAGTAAACATGTTAGATTATATTGTGAAAATCACGAAGATACTTTGTTTTCCTTTGTTATCAATAGTATTTCATAAAGTTATCCTTTTGTTTCACATGAATGGTTAGACTTAATTAAACTGTACAGATCCTGTAGTGTGTGTTCCGTCCAGTTTCTTTATTGGAGACAGTGGAATTCCTTTGGAAGTAATAGCAGGAAGCATTTCTGTGGATGAACTTGTTACAAGAATTCACAAAGTCCGACAGGTAAGAAGGAACAGAACTGTTGTTTCCATAAATGATAAGTCAGGAATTGGATTTATTTTTATTTTTTTGAGATGGAGTCTTGTTCTGTCACCCAGGCTGGAGGGCAGTGGTGTGATCTCAGTTCAACCGCAGCCATTGTTATTATATTTTGTAAATAGCATTATGAAGTTACAGGTGCCAGTAGCCAGTACCTAATACTTGACTGACTTCTTTACCTTTTTTTTTTTTGAGATGGAGTCTCACTGTTGCCCAGGCTGGAGTGAAGTGGCATGATCTCAGCTCACTGCAACCTCTGCTTCCTGGGTTCCAGTGATTTTTCTGCCTCAGCCTCCTGAGTAGCTGGGATTACAGCTGTGTGCCACCATGCCTGGCTAATTTTTGTATTTTTAGCAGAGATAGTGTTTCGCCATGTTGGCCAGGCTGGTCTCGAACTCCTGTCTTCAAGTGGTTTGCCTGCTTTGACCTTCCAAGGTGCTGGATTACAGGCGTGAGCCATCACGCCTAACCGTCTTTTACCCCAATCTCAACACATAATGAACATCACCATAACTTTGTTGAAACATAAAGCTGCTGTCATATTAAGGCTCTAACTTTATGTTGCTTAACATATTTTAGGACTTTATACTCAATACTTTGTCACTTCTACCTACTTTGGACAAATGGCTAATAGAAGCTTGTAACTTATTTCTTTGAATTCTAATTTGAAAGAAAACCAATAGGTGTGCTTTAACAAATCATTTTATGGTCTTGCCAGTTTGCAGGTAAATGTGATTATATCATGCTTAGGATATAATGTGATTATATCACATGCTTATCTATAATGTGATTATATGATGCTTAGGATTATACATTTTGGATTCATCTATTTATGAGAGTTGAGTACTTTTCCTTTTGTAGAGTGTAAATCAACTTAACCTGTATTTTGGTCTCTACTGCTATGGCAAATTTAGATTCTTATCTATTAATTAAAATCCAATTTATTTTCTTCCTAGATGCACTCGCTAAAAAGTGAAACATCAGTAGCAAATGGCAGCCAGTCAGAAAGTTCAGTGTCTACTCCATCTGCCTCGTTTGAACCTAACAACACTTGTGAAAACACTGAGTCCAGAAATGCAGAGCTTAGTGAGACACCACCCACTTCTGATGCAAAGTCAGATACTGCAACAGGTAACTTTTAATGTACTTTTTTGAGTATAGTAGAACCTCCTTCACTACATTTTAATATTTAAATATTAATCATTTAAAAAATTAATATATTGTATGAATTTTTCTTCACATTTATTTAACATAAATTTAAACATTGTCTTAAATACATGTGTCATTTAGTGTCAGAAGATGATGAAGTCAGTGAATGTCTTGACTCCCAAATAGTCAACAATTCAGAGCACTTGATTTGTAATTTCTGCTATTGGACTATATGCTTTAAGGAATGTCATGATACTGAGCAGTTTTATAAATCTCTTACTAGCCTAGAGAATTTTGAAAGGTTCAAATTAACTAATGTATTATATTTGGAATTGTTTCTATAACATGTAAAATGCTATATATATTTAAGAGAATAGTATTTTATATATATTTAATTAGAAATAAAAGATAATTATGAAATAGAGCTTGTAACGTGAGAAGTATGACTATAAACTCATTGATAGAAAAGGCAAAAGAGAAATTTTATTCTGTATTTTTGGGATTGTGGTTGGAGTTGTTTGGTGTAATATAGCTTTGTATTAGGCAACAGAGGGGTAGATAAATCAAGATGTTAAGAATATTAGTGTCCTAAAAGATGATTCTACTCTACCATCCCACACAAATAATCATTGAGCTTCTATTTGAATACAGTCAATGATAGGAAGCTCATTACCTTGCTAGGAAGCCTGTTCTGTTGAACAGCTCTAGTTTTTAGAAAGAGTATTCTTTATACTGAGCTGAAATTTGATGCCCCATAACTTCCCATTAACATTAGTGCTGCCTTGTGGAGTTATACATGACAGGTTTTGATTATTTGAAGTACAGCTATCAGTTTCATATTGAGGTTTTACATCCATGGATCATTCAGCTTCTGGATGTGTACAGAACTGGGGACTCTATTACGGATGTTCATTTAGGTCTACAACAGAAGAATTACTTTAATTGTACTTACCTATATATATATCATTTCCAAAATGTTTCATTCCATTGTGTAGATATGTGTTTCTCTCTGGCATAATATTCCTTCAGCCTGAAAATTTTCCTTTAGCATTACTTACTGTACAGGTCTGGAGTTTTCTTTATGTGAAATGACTTTGTTTTATCGTCATTCTGGAAGGATATTTTTGCTGGATATAAAAATTTGTTGTTTACAGTTACAGGTTTTGTCCACCATCTTCTGGTCTCTGTGATTTTCTAATAAGAAGTCTCCACAAATTCTGATTGTTCCCCCCATATGGAGTATGTTGTTTTTTCCCTGGCTACTTTCAGGATTTCTTTCTTTGGTTTTTAGTGATTTGACTGTGATAGGCCTAGGTGTATTTGTCTTTGTATTTATCCTTTTGTTGGTTTGCCAAGTTTCTTGCATCTGTAAATGTATAACTTTTGCTAAGTTTGCGAAGCTTGGTCCGTATATCTTGCTGGAACGAATTACATGTGTATTAAGCTTCATGATATTGTCCCACAGGTTTATTTTTTTTCCACTCTTATTTTTTCTTCCTTTGGATTGGATAATTCTGTTGATCTACAAATTCACTGACTCTTTATCATCTCCATTCTGCTGTTAAGCCCATCCAGTGAGTTTTCTATTTTAGATAAAATTAGGTTATACATTTTTTACTTCAGGATTTCTCTTTCTTTCTGTCTTGTCATTGTAACTTTTTATTTTGAAATAGTTTGATTCATAAGTTGCAAAAGCTGTGCAGAATGAGTACTCTTCATCTACATTTTATTCTTTTAATACTATCTTTTAATTCATTTCAAGTATATTTCCTTTTTCCTCATTTGAGTTATAATGGCTGCTTTAAAGTCCTTGTCTAACAGTTTCAATATGTAGCTCATCTGAAGATGGCTTGTGTTGATCACCTTTACCCTTTAGAATGGGTCACATTTTCCTGTTTATATGTCAGAAATTGCTGGATCTCTTATACTTGTTGTAGACACTCTGGATTTCATTGTATTCCTGCAAAGAGTGTTGTTTTTGTTTTAGTAGGCAATTAACTTAGCTAGACTAAAACTGCAAGCTCTGGTTCACCTGAGATGAGTAGCAGCTCTAATGTCAGTTTTTTGTAACTTAAAAAAAAAATTTTTTTTTTGGTCAGGTGTGGTGGTTCACATCTATAATTCCAGCACTTTGAGAAGCCAAGGTGGGCAGATTGCTTGAGCCCAGGAGCTTGAGACCAGCCTGGACAACATGGCCAAACTCTGTCTCTATAAAAATACAAAAATTAGCCAGGTATGGCGGCACATGCCCGTAGTCTCAGCTATTTAGGAGGCTGAGAGGTGGGAGAGTTGCTTAAGCTGGGGAGCTGGTTGTTGCAGTGAGCTATGATCATGTCACTGCACTCCAGCCTGGGTGACAGAGCCAGACTCTGTCTAAAAACTGTTGTTGTTTTTGAGATGGGGTCTGGCTCTGGCGTCCAGGCTGGAGTCCAGTGGCACAAACATAGCTCACTGTAAATCTCCAACTCCTGGGCTCATGGGATTGTCCTGCTTCAGCCACTTGAGTAGCTAGGACTACAGGAATGTACCACCACACCTGGCTAATTTCTTTTTTTTGTTTTTGAGATGGAGTTTAGCTATTGTTGCCCAGGCTGGAGTGCAGTGGCATGGTCTCAGCTCACCTCAATGTCCGCCTCCTGGGTTCAAGCGATTCTCCTGCCTCAGCCTCCCCAGTAGCTGGGATTAAAGGCCTACGCCACCACGCCTGGCTAATTTTGTATTTTTAGTAGAGATGGGGTTTTTCCATGTTGGTCAGGCTGGTCTCAAACTCCCAATCTCAGGTGATCTGCCCACCTTGGCCTCCCAGAGTGTTGGGATTACAGATTGAGCCACCACACCCGGCCCCTTTTTTT